TTGTGTTCTGATTTTGAAGCATCAGCAAGTGTGAATGAAAACCTATGGAGCCCCCCTTTCTGCCTCCCTGGGACCAACCTTGAACCAGCTGGATGATCAACTGCTGCTGCTGAATATGGAAACTAGAGGAGGGTGACTTGGCAAAGAAGGCTAATCCAGCAGGGGTGGAGCTGTCTGGTCTGATGGCCTGGGCAGCAAGACCTGGGGATGGAGGATGCAGAGCCAGGCAGAGGCTGGGGTGGGGACTCAGACACAGGGGTTCCTCTTCAGTGTAACAAGGTGGCAGGACATGGACTTGGAAAAGGTGAGTGCCACAACAGAGAGATAAGGAGCAGGCCCACAGGCAGGCTCAGGGTCAGCGTGTTGGGGAGGAGGCAGCAGCATAGGTAACAACAGCTGGCATTTCTTCCAGAGTCAGTCCTCACTCTGCCTGAGGGTTACTGTTTCTCTTGCAGGCCGGCCTGAGGCTCAAAAAGGCCCAGTTCTTGGCATCGGCAAGGGATGTCCATCTTGGAGTCAGCATCCCCTGATTCTAAGGTGGACAATTTGATATTTTAAAAATACTTAAGGGGCTGGGATTGTGGCTCAGCGATAGTGAGCTCGCCTTGCATGTGTGAGGCCCTGGGTTCGATCCCCAGCACCACATAAAAATAAACAAATAAAATAAAGATATTGTGTCCAACTACAACTAAATAATACATATTTTTAAAAATATATTTAAAAGTCCCAGGGTGACTTATTGTGCCTTTCATCCCAGCAACTTGGGAGGATGAGGAAAGAGGATTCCAAGTTCAAGGCCAGCCTCAGCAACTAAGTGAGGCCGTAAGCAATTTAGCAAGAATCTGTCTCAAAAGAAAAAAATAAAAAGGGCTGGGGATATAGCTCAGTAGTTAAGCACCCTGGGTTCAATCTTTAGTATCCCCGCAAAAAATATTTAAAAGTTTTAATTGATACAGAATTGTACATATTAATGGGGTGCAGTATGATAGTTCAATATGTGTACAATGTGCTATGATCAGATCAGGTAAACTGCCATATCCCAGGGCGGGAACTTTTATCTTTTATCGTTCATCATTTCCTTGTATTGGAAACGTTGGAAAGGGTAACCTGCTATTTTAAAGTCCTAGAAAGGGAAAGTAAAAAAGCCAAATTCTAAAGGAGTAGGAAAAAGAACTCAGTACTTGTCAAAAGGGGATACACGAAAATAAATGATAATTTCATGATTTTTTTTTTGGACTATTTGAAATGAAGAGAGGATAAAGCAGAAAATTACAGGGTCCTATCAACCTACAATGGTCACCATGTCCTCCTCTCTGTGCCTCTACACCTGGAGAGATGATCTGAGAGGCATAGAGAAAAGAGAGAAAGCAGAGGAAGTTTTTAGAAAGACTAAAAAGATAATTTAAAGCAAAATTTCCCCTCCTATTTTCTGACTGTGCCAGGAAAAGCAACTCAGGTGCCTGATCTGATCTCATCAAACTTTTTCTGACCATTCTGATGTAGCACAGCTATGGTCAGGCCTACTTTAATATCCAATGAGCAGAGCTCAGAGGGCAGTGCAGTATTAAAAAGCATATGGGGTGCTTTGGGGCAGAGCGCTCGCCTAGCATGGGCGGGACCCGGGTTGGATCCTCAGCACCATATAAAAATAAAGGCATTGTGTTGTGTCCATCTACACCTAAAAAATAAATATTAAAAAAAAAAGGACTTAAGAAGAAATTGAAGAAGACCTTAAAAAAAAAAAAGCAGATGGGGAGGGGGCATCACGCTTTGTTAAAAACAGTATATTACATGTTTCAATTTTGGAGGAACTGGTTAAAGAATAATAACCAGGGGGCTGGGTTGTGGCTCAGTGATAGAGTGCTCACCTAGCATGCACGAGGCACTGGGTTCGATCTGCAGCACCACATAAATGTAAAATAAAGATATTATGTCCACCTAAAACTTAAGAATAAATGTTAAAAAAAAGAATAATAACCAGTAACGTGAACCAAAATGTTACCAGCAATCATCTCTGAATTGTGTGATTACTACTGATTTTTCCTTCCTTTAAGCTTTTCTCATTTTTTTTTATATTTTTCAACTTTTAATAACTGTGTATTAATTTCCCAATCAGAAAAAAGCCATTATTTTACAAGGGTTTAAGTTTAAGCTTTAAACACTTAATGATGCTGTTGTGATTTTTGAGGAGGTTGGCCAGCAACCTGCCTTTAATTTCAGGCTGCTTGATGGGATGGTCCAAAAGTTCTTGTTTGGGTCAGCACCCTAAGGGAATACCAAATACGGGGTTCACATATTTAGTGGGAGGGGAGCACTCCAGGCAGCAGTGTTCTTTCCTCTGGAAAGTTCCCGAAACTCTGGGATAAGGCATATGGCTGCAACAGCTGGCAGGGAGATGGACCAAGTGGTGCAGTTTTGAGATCTGGTGAATGCTGTTCTGATCTGAGTTTTTCTGAACCTGGAGTTGGTGATCTTTTTTTTTTTTTTTTTTTTTTCTGGAAAGCACCAAGTAGGAAATATTTTAGGCTTTGCGGCCATGTGATCTCTCTTGCAACTACTCAACTCTGCTGCTGAGAAGCAGCTGGGACAATATTACAATATGAGTGTGGCTGTGTTCCAATAAAACTTTATTTACAGAGAATGCAGTTTGCCAATCTCTGAAGAACTCCAGTTTCCCCAGCACAGTTCAAGAAGCTAAGTGATCAGGTACAAGTTCCTGTTAATAGGTGAGTCATTAGATAAGATTCCCCCCCCCCCTCAAGTGAAGGGTTGATTAGAGATGACTTCACAGAAAAGGAAGCACAAGCTTTGGCCATTTAATATGTTGGCCTTTGTCCTCCACATAAACTATGAGTATCGAAGTTTGGAAAGTGAGTCTGCATTTTAAATACCATCCATGTAATTCATACAGGGACATGTAAATAGAATGAGCTTGATCCACCCTTGCTGAGTAAGAAATGAATGAATGATTGTCTTCTATCGAGCTGGTGTGAAATGTAGTTCTTTTTTTTTTTTTTTTAAAGAGAGTGAGAGAGTGAGAGAGAGAGAGAGAGAGAGAGAGAGAGAGAGAGAGAGAGAGAATTTTTTAATATTTATTTTTTAGTTTTTGGTGGACACACATCTTTGTTTGTATGTGGTGCTGAGGATCTAACCCGGGCAGCATGCATGCCAGGTGAGCGCCCTACCGCTTGAGCCACATCCCCAGCCCGAAATGTAGTTCTTGAGTGTCACCACTTGGGAACTTCTCAAGCTGTATCCAAGTAGATTCCACCTTAAATGAGACATCCTGTGTCCCCAGAGTTGGGGAGAATGTCCTGAACAAAGTAGCCCAGAAGAATAGTCAGGTTGCCAGGTCACATAAAAAGTGTCCCAGGGCTCAGGCCTCTGCTGTTTACTCCCTCCAACCTGTAAGTTAACATAGTGTCTACCTCACAAATACGTCAGTACCTCCTAGAGGAATATAATTCTGCCCAGATATTTCTAAAAGATCAATACAAACAACCAAAGGTTGGGCCTGGCCAATGTCCCTTCTATCGGGTTTCCTAGTTTCTCAGTGACTGATTTGAAGCTGAGGGAGTGTGAGACCTGAGCTTTTGTCCTATGGCTCTTTGGTACCTCCACACCCCCTGCGTCCTATTTTGCCTCACCTCAGTCAAGGCACCAAAGAGGTCAACTTGTCAAGAACTCTTTCTCGCCAGGCTCAGTGCACACCTATAATGTTCACATATGTGTGCATTCACATATGTGAACATATATGTGCATATCTATAATCCCAGTGGCTCGGGAGGCTAAGGCAGGAGGACTGCAAGTTCAAAGCCAGCCTCAACAAAAGCGAGGCACTAAGCAACTCTGTGAGACCCTGTCTCTAAATAAAACATAAAATAGGGCAGAGTGACCCTGAGTTCAATTCCTGCTACCCCCAAAACAAAACAAAACTCTTAATCTTGTCCATTTTGACATAGCACCAATCTTTATCTTCTACAAATGCAAAACATGTCAATGAGGTAGAAATGAGCAGGTGAATCCCTGCAGCCTCTTGATCCAAACTCTTTTCCTGAGAGGTCCTTGTGGAACCCACATCCTATCTTAGGTGAGCCTCCTGGCTACATCAAAATGTTCACTCTCAAGACGGGAATTTAGAATCATCTCACCCCAAAGAATCTGGGATAAAAGCCAGGTTAGAAGATGGATTTTAAGCAATGTTAATGAACAATGTACTTGGCTAAAATCTAGTTTGGAGTCTGAATGCCTCACGAGGTAAACATTTTGCAGGGGTTCATCCTAGTTTTCATGTGGGATATGTGTGTGAATGCACATATATGTGAACATAAGCAGAATCCAGCCAACAGAAACAGCATGCACATGTGTACTGGATGATATTCATTTTTCTTTTCTTTCTTTTTTCTTTTTTTCTTTTTAGAGAGAGAGAGAGAGAGAGAGAGAGAGAGAGAGAGAGAGAGAGAGTGTGTGTGTGAGAGAGAGAGAGAGAGAGAGAGAGAGAATTTTGATATTTATTTATTTTTTTTAGTTTTCGGTGGAAACAACGTATTTGTTTGTATGTGGTGCTAAGAATCGAACCCAGGCCGCACGCATGCCAGGCGAGCGCACTACCGCTTGAGCCACATCCCCAGCCCATATATTCATTTTTCTAAATAAATATTAATGGTCATTGAGAAGATGTGTTCTAAATCTAACAGTAAGGAACCAGATTCTGGAGTTCTGAGTTCCCTTTTGTCCTTTCCAGGTCGCAGAGATTTATGCAGAGGCCCATGAAGGTACATACAGATGTATGTACATATGGAAGGTACATACAGATGAGAAAAAGAAAAGCTAGGCCACAAAATAATTCCAGGGAGAAATCCCAGAGAAATAACCCTCAGAGGTCTAAGGCCAGAACATTTCTGGGGTCCCGGTTCCAGATGCTGGTGCTGGCCCTGGCCGTATGAGGGACTCTCAGAGCCCAAGAGGCAAGCATAGCACAGAACGAGAGGGCTACTCACGCTGTCGTTGCTTCCTTTGTTGTCCTCATACTTGGTTTCTATATGAATGGAGAATTTCGGCAGAAAGGAACACTATGGAGAAAAAACAAACATGAATTAGCACAAGCTCTCTCTGCTCTGCACACGCTCAGTACAGCCTCTGCTCTCCTCACCATTTGGTTGGGAGCACGGCTCTAGAGCAGAAGTGTTGATCTACTATGGCGATATCCCTATGCACTTACGAAAAGCCACCTTTAGGAGCATGAACACAATTTCTTCCAGAAGTCAGGCCAGAGAGAGAACCCAACAGGAATATGTTCTGTGGGTCCTGCCACCAGCTTTGGAAAAGCAAATCCTTAAAACAGAGGTCAACTCTGTTCTGGAGAGCTAACCCTGGGGAGCAACTGCCACTATTGGATAAATGGGGGGTCTATAAATATTCATATAAAGTTAGGGAGGTAGTACAGTAGAACTTTAAAAGTTAGTCAGAACTGGCTTTTTTAATATGACTTTGGATAAGTCATTCAACTTCTCTGAACCCCAGCAGTATCAAACAGGAATTATAATTATTAACTAAGAATGGCATTGTGAAGGTTAAATAAAATGATGTGCATAAATATAGTGGCAGAGTGTGTGCTTAGCATGTGTAAGGCCCTGGGTTTAATTTTCAAAACAAAATAACAAAAATAACACACACATATAAAAATATGTAAATATAATATAAATAATGCTGAGCACTGAGTTAGCATTCAACAAAACTCAGTGATCCATATGAGGCTGCAGCTGAGCTTGACCAGAAAAGGCAGCCCCTCTTGCTGGCTGCATGAGGGACACTACAAACCCGGACTGCAGCTCGGCCCTAGTGTTCCAGATTGTCTCATTCTGTGTATCCAGTAGATCTTAAGAGGTAAGGCAGCTTGAGAAGAGGATTTTGACAAATGTTGGTGTAACTACCCTCCTGCTAGCACTGAGCTGGCCATTACTTTTTGGATATAGGATTGAAGGCTAATGGGTAAAATGACCCAGGGAGTCCACTGGGAGCTGCAGGTGTTGGGGAAATGAGACTTCACTTGATCTGATCACAGTCCCAAGAGGCTGGGTCCTTTATGTACTTATCTACTACTCAGGGAATGTGCTTTCAACATCAGCACAGTCTGAATACTTTCAGATTCTCTCTCATGTATTCTTTGCAACAATCCTAAGGGGTGGGTACTATTATTATTATCATCACCCCTGCTTTCAAGATGAGGAATGGAGGCACAGAGAGATTAAATAAATGACCCATAACCACAGTTATGCATCTAGAGTCAGGTGTGAAAGCAAAGTGGGCTGGCCCCAGTGTCCATGCTCTTGACTACTACTCCAGTGCTTCTCACAGGGGCGTGTCTGGTCTAGCAACAGCAGCATCACCCTCAAACTAGTTAAAAATGGAAATTCTCAGGCTGCACACTAGACCAATTGAATCAGAAACCCTAGAGTGGGGTCCAGCAATTTATGTTTCCCTTGTTCAAGTTGGAAAATCAGCTCACTCTCCCATGCATGGGAAGGAAACAGAGTGTTCTGTCTAAAATCCAAAAGTCCACAAACACCTACCCTCATCTCTTGGGCTCCATCCCCACAATGACCATGCTTCCATTTTAGAGCCCCGGGGGCTTCCGTATGAGAAGGCAGAGGTCTTGGACATGCTAGGGATAATTTTCCTGGCATCACATGCCCGTGTGCATTCTGTATCCATCTGTCTGAATCTGAGTGAAATAAGCAATCTGAACCGTGACTAAGGAAACACGGAAACAATCAATCCCAATGATTGCCTTTATGGAGAATGAGGCCCTGTGATTATTCATTAACACCTTCTCTGCTGATTTCTCTTCAACCTCTCACTTGGTAAGTGAGGCCCTCATGCCCTGTTCCAAAGGGTTCCAGGAGGGTCTGCTTATTGAGACCCTGGAGAATTCAAAGCCCCCAGCAGAGCTTTGAGAGACTCATAAACATGAGGATCTTGGCCTAGAGGCCCTCTTAAAAATAACCAGCCTTCAAGTGAATCAATTCTGTACTTTTAAACCCATTATTCATCTGAGGGCCAATCCAATGAGTGGCGGGACAACAGGGCCAAGCAGGGTGTGAGTAGACCTAGGGGGTGCCATGTAGAAAATCATAAGGATTTTGCATCAGTTGAACCTCCAGAACCACTAAACTAGGTCAAACAAATGAATTTTAGCATTTGGGGTATTAAACTCAAATATGAAATGCAAAACTCTTATGCAAATTAGCAGGTGCTGTTATTTTTGAATCAAAGACTCAGGTTATTTTCATGTCAGAATGGCAACCTTGCCCTGAGGCTGGGAGCGCACCTGCCTGTGGCAGCGGAAGGATGGGAACCGGATGGGCCAACTCCAGGCTGGTCAGTACTTTCTCTGCTAATCCCTTTGGGATACCTGACAGCTAGTTCTTGAAATCCTGGAGTGTGCAAGTGCCTAAAAAGTTAAAAATCAGAAGTCTGTAGCTCTAGGCATTTTCAGACCTGTCATTAAACTCTTTCCAGTAAGATGTCCATCTGAAGATAAACTTCTGCATGCCCCATGCAGGCTAGTGGTTGTAAAAATTCCAGCACACAAATCCTAGAAATCTATAAGTGTTAGGCCCCAGCACTTGGCTTTGCCCTTCCTATCTCACAACTGATCATTTTGATCTAGGCTTTGACGAGAACATAGTTGCTGTGACAGAAACACCTACAACCTCCCTTTCATCCACTGCAAAACTTCTGCGTATTAGGTTATACTTCTTGTTCTTGGTGAATCAGAGAAAGATGTCTTTTTCCCAGTGCAAAATAATATAAAGAAAAGCCCTGACACATTTGAACCAGTTGACTTAGGCTCAAATCCAAGACACAGTGTGCTTTGGGCAAATTCTTTTATCAGCCCCAGCCTAAGTTTCTCCATTTATAGAATGAGGATAATACTCTTCTCTGTGGAGAATATCAATGAGGTCAGGCAGGTAAGGCCCAGCATAGCACTTGGCATGTCACAGGTGCACAGTAATAATAAACATTCCCAAGATTCTTCTCTGGAACCTTGTCGCAGTGATAATTTACATCTTCTCCCTGCCTCCTTCCCACAGCCTAAAAAAATATTCTTAAAAAAATAAATGATCACAAAGTTCTTCGTTTCTTCCTTTATCTATAACCAACCCCAATTCTGTCTTTACAATCAAATATATTTAAAGAGTAGTCAGTGCTGGTCAGCTCTACTCTTTTGGTCTCTCGACCTCTTCTCAACCATGAGGCCCACAAAATGCAGGAGAGAGTTCTGAGACAGCCCCAGACCCCACCCCATGGTGCACGTAAGCTATATGATCCTCCCCTTCTGTATATGATGGGACACTGCTCCCTGGATTGGTCCCTCGAGCCATCACAGGGAGCACAGGCTTTGACGGCTACCAAGGAGATGAGATGCTCACTCCTGATACTCTGTCACAGTATCCATGACTTCATTTTTTAAAAGCAGAAATTCTTTTGTTGGCTTTGAAGCCGGGAGAAGGCCAGGTGGCTAGGAACTGAGGAAGGCCTCTGGGAGCCGAGAGAACAGCCAGCTGGAAAAGGAGACCTCTGTCCTACAACCACAAGGAATTTCATCCTGCCAGCAACGGATGGGCTTGCTTGGAAGAGGACCCTGAGCCTGGGGTGAAACTGGAGCCTTGGCTGATAGCTCAGTATCCACCTAACCAAGGATTCAGTTAAACTGGGCCTCAACTCCTGACCATGGAGACTGCAAAATAATAAATTTGTGTTGTTTTAAGTTGCTAAGTTTGTGAAAATTTTACACAGCAATAGAAAGCCAACACACTCAACCTGCCTACTGTTTCCCTTCTGAATCACACCCCTGGCCTTCATCCGATGAAGCATCATTCGCTGTGAGCTCTGAAGAGTCCAGGGCACTGGGGAATTCAAACTCTTTCTGACTTAGTCATTTCACCTATGATATTATCTGCCCTGTCATTGGCCATTGCTTCTCGCCCAGGGAGATATTTATGAGTAACTGACGCCAGTAAGCTCATCATTAGGTGCTGTCCACATAGCAGGCTGCAGGCCCACAGAGAGGAAGTATGGTGGGTCAGGCAAAAAACCACAAGTTTTGCAGTGAAACACACTTTATTTCAAACCCCAGCTTTGTTTCTCACAAATTGGGCAAATTCCTTAATCCTCCTGAGCTTTGGTTTCCTCATCAATAACATGGAGACGACAATGCCAGTCTCGTAGCAGGAAGTAAGGATTAACGAGACAATGAATGTTCAAGTTCAGCCAGTGTCTGGTGGAAGAGGGACTGGAGAAAGGCTGGCCTACTCTATGGCACCTCTCTCCACGAAACCCATAAGTGATGCAAGAGCAAATGGAGCTGGGTGGTGGGCTTGCTGGAGTGGTGGCCATAGATAGGTCACCTGACTGGTATTCCCATAGCGCAGTGGCCAAGCCAGGGAGCAAATCTGGGCTTTTCCTGCCTCACTCTGACTCTCTGGCCTGCTCTGCTGCCAAGGGCATGTGGCACATTATCCAGGATCTGTTCTCAGTGGCTCCTTCTTCCGGGCAGGGGCCCTTTCCCTCTTCTCTTAGATTCCTTTGACCTCCTGCCAACTCCATGCTGGGAAACAAGAACTCTACCAGGGCTCCAGTCACTTTTTTCCCTCCTGGATTGAAAAGCTTTATGCTCCCTGTTCACTCAGCTAAATTACAAAGACTGAGACTCAAGAAATTAAGAAACAGCATAAAAAAAGCAGACGTCAGAAGCTCCAGGGCCACCATCAGTGACTGCTTACAGAAACAGGATAAGGGGCTCCTGTCCCAGAGGCTGGGGGACATCGAGGAAGCATATTTGCTCCTCCCTTCATGTCCCAGGCTCACTCCATATCTGGAATCCTCTTTCTCATGAAGCATCTTTCTCCCTGTCTCTTCTGGACCAGAGGTGCAGCTTGGAAGGGAGAATAAAGGAAATACAGGAAATGTTCCCTTGCCGGGCGCTGTGGCACACACCCGTAATCCCAGCAGCACGGGAGGCTGAGGCAGGAGGATCACAAGTTCAAAGCCAGCCTCGGCAATTTAG